GGGAATACGGTGCCGCCTATGACCAGCTTATTGAAGGCACATAGATTTGCAAATCTCTCACCATTTTCGTTTCTTTCTCCCAGTCCGTGTCGTCCCATGATGTCTTCATATCCGGTGTTGTCCATTCCAACCTTGGTATTTAAATCTCCCATCAGAATGGTCAGGTCCTTTGTCGGGCACTTCTCGACGATTGACTGCAGCCTATTGTAGAATTGGTCTTTAGCGTCTTCATTGTAATCGTTGGTAGGCGCATAGCATTGGATGATGTTCATTGAAATGCCCTCTTTCTTTGTTTTGAAGGAGGCTTTGATGATCCTTGGTCCATGAGATTCCCACCCCATTAGTGCATTCTGTGCTTGTCTGGACAGCATCAATGCAACCCCTTGTGTATGTGGGGCACTTTCTTCTTCATGGTCGGAGTATAATAGAAGCTCCCCTGAAGCTAGTCGGTGTTGTCCAACTTGCGTCTAATGTGTTTCACTGATCCCAAGCACCCCTAGGTTGTATCTCTTCATTTCTGCAGCAATTTGTAAGACTCTGCCAGTCTCCCACACTGTACGAGCATTCCATGTACCTAAATAAATGATTGTTCTGGTTGTCAGAAGGGTCATTGGCCTCGTGACTTTCGAAGGAAATCGGCTTTCATCATGAGACATCATAACTCTTCTAAATGAAGACCCCCTGACTCCCAGGGTAGAGTTTGAATGGTTTGAATAATTTTTTTCCGGTTAGCGTAATTTTTAGCGAGTTAGTTTCCTACAGAATGTGGTCGCTAACCCTATGCTCAACCGTCCTCCTTCATCCGGGCTTGGGACCGACAGTAACCCCCGGAGGGATGCCAGGCGGATTTGACATGTATCCTACTCTAATAAAAAAACAGCTTGAAATTATATTTATCAAAGCACTTTTACAAACTATCAACAAGACGAGCATTGTGATGCTTTTTAAGTAAATAAATGCTGAGGAGGAAAGGTGTTGAAAACACAAATATATATGGACGAAAAATATTCTTTTCAATAAATTCTCTTCAGGTTTAACAGTTTTAGATCCAAATTAATAATCCAAAAAGTAAATTATTGAATATTATAAGCATATTTATTAATTATAATCCTAATAACTGTTTAGGTGATTAAATAAGAGCATCAGACAGCAAATCCTTTTGTTTTTAGTGAGTTTACTACTAAAAATAATACAATTAGAAATATATGCAATTAGTCCGAAACATCGCATTGATGCTTAGGACTGCGATTGACCAGTCTCTTATTGGCATGTAGTAACCTACTTTTATCAAGAGAACGCAATCGGTGTTATGGAAATAATTATTATTATAACTAATTGTACCAGGGATTGTTTTACCGTACTTATTTGTTTAACTATACCAAAACACATACATTCTTCCGTTGATTGTGACCTTGCACGGATTCGGTTACGCTCAGTAATCACACTAGTACTCCTTTGGAACGAGCTCGGTATTTTTTCGATAGCACGAAATCGCCAACAAATACATTCCGACTACAGCCATCAACTTCCTTCTGATATTTGGCTTACGGGGGATCTTATTGGTTAACTGGCACTTAGTCTTCCTGTAGTGGTGATCATAGTCAACCGCGACTCGACGCCACACTACAGGCATATGTGAATCCTGTTGAGATTGCCTCGATATTACCTTAATTCACAAGCATTATAAAGAAAGATGGATGGCGGTCACCAGTGGAATCCAGAACGCGCATCTCGTCCTACTAATGACTCGTCAGCAAGATGTACCTGCATCCTGTGTTGATGTTCACTCCAGGACTCGAACCCAGTACCGTTCGCTTCAAACGTCATCGCATTATCTACTTAGCTACCGAGTCCTGGTAGCTACTGGCTAGGATCGAGTCTCGGAGTGAACATCAACTCAGAGATGCAGGTACATCCTGCTGACGAGTCATTAGTAGGACGAGATGCGCGTTCTGGATTCCACTGGTGACCATCATTCATCTTTTTTTATAATGCTTGTGAATTAAGGCAATATCAAGGCAATCTGCACAGGATGCACGTATGCCAATAAGAGACTGGTCAATCGAAGTCTTAAACATCAATGGGAAGATTCAAACAAACAACACTAAATAAATTTAAACTTCACCCAAATGCAGTTAGTGTTTAAAATTTATGGAAAAGGATTTGTGGACAGTTTCCAGAAAATTCTAAAGTTTACTAGGAATAGGATTTCTTCAGAGTTTAATCATAAAATATGGTATCGAAACGCGAGTTATGTTGAAACACAATCGAAAAGATAAATGAGTAAAAATGGTAAATCGTGCATCGATAGATATCGAATGAAATAAAAATGGTGGAACACATAATTTAGTATATAAATAAATGTCATTGATAAGGGAGAAAAAGTCTTATTCATATTTAGAAAATACATCTAATATCATTAGAAGAATTAAGTGGATTTAAATTAATTAAAGTTGGATATAGAGAAGGAATATAGTGAGAGAAATACAAACGTTAGTTTTGGATAAATAAATTTGGTATCATGAATTAACAAAAAGTCTTTTGTATTGCTTGTAAGGCCATACTGTATTTTGTGGAGTTAACCATATAAATCCCTTGAAAATACATGATCTTTGGATATTTCAGAAACGATCAATTTATTCTTTTACTAACTATACTTAAAGTAATTGAAATAGGAAATAAATGGTCTGTTTCTAGGTCAGTGATTCAAGAGTCTCTACTGTCATATTGTAATGATATACCATTAATAATAAAATGATGATATATTTATAATATCCCAAAGAATATAAATCAGGACGTTATGGCTTAGTTTAATTTGCTTATTTAGGAAGTAAATAAATAAATAAGCGAATAAAATTAACACAAGTTTAAACCTTGTGCTTGCAATATCTTAGATGGTTACACATAATTCCTGACATGCCTACTTTTGAATTTGTCGAGGTGGTTTGAGACTAGATCTTCTGTATAATATGTACAACAAATTTGGTTAAATTAAGAATCCTTTAGTTAAAATTATTTTTATCACAGTCATTCATAATGTTCTAAAGAAGTTGTAACTTTTGAAATGATATCCGAAAATAATTTTAAGTCAATGTTTGTTGAATAAAAATGAAACTATTATGTTTAGTTGCTTTATCTTCAGCTCCATATAAATTATTAAGTTCAGTTCTTTCGATATGTAAACATGCTTGTAAACTAAGAAATGAATTGTTTGTGGGATATTACTAAATTGTTTTGAATATGAAAGTGCAATGGAATTGATAATTCTAAAATGTTGGAGATGACTTGGTTATACAATTAGAAAATGGCCAGTCAAGAACATATAAAGATCATAAACAAAATAGAACATTCAAAACTGAATTCACTGTACAGCAATCATAATCAAATGATGGATGAATTTAAATGACGCTACCTTTACTTTTACAAAGGCTGACAGTTAACCTTTGGCTTGTAGATATAAAAGTCAGGTTTTATCCTTCTTGTTTTTATGCCTTTCGCAAATTTCAGTTAGAGAGTCGTAATTTTTATTAATTGTTCTAAATGCTCTTCTTTTATTCACTTTTGTGTCTTGTTTCCGGCAGCTGGCTCATGACCTAACTTCGAAGACTGTTTTACCGTTACATACTTAGGCTCTTTGGAATACAATGTAGTAAAACACGAGGACGTTAGTCCTTTTGTTCTTTCAATAAATCTGCCTTGGCACTTATAAATTATTAAATAAAGTTAGTTAAGGTTTGTGTTATGATGCGTTAAGCTTGAATACTACTACTGACTCGTCTTACTCGAATGGAACGAAGGATCAATGAGTCCGAGGCTCGATAGCTATCCTGGTCCGTTGTCCCCAACTCTGCTAACTCGATCAAGAAGTCTGGGTAAGGTGTAGAAAGTGTATTGTACAGGCAAACAGCAGATGTCAAGTCAGATCAAGTACACAAGTCAAGCGTATTTATACAAATATTTAGAATCGATATTGTCATAGTACAATCTTTTTAAACATTAATCAATAAGTTCATCAATCGACAGACATTCAAATGTTTAATCGATAAGTTCGTCAATTGACTGCTATTTGATCGTTTAATCGATAAGTTCATTAATTGACATCCATTCAAATATTTAACATTTAATCGATAAGTCGATCGATAAGACGAAAATTACAGAATATGAGTTTTGGGGATCTATCGTCCCCAACAGTTTGTTACGAGTATTTGGCTAAAAGTAAATTTTGACGTATAAATAGTGAAATATTTTCTGAACTTTCCTCATAATAATGCATTAGGTTTAGAAACTACAAAAGATTTCAGCTACTGTATGATAGACGGAAGAATAGATCAATAAAATACTAAGTCGTCTACAGGTTTATAAAACCATACAAAAATGTTCACTGAGTACAAGTATTTTGATTAACTGTAGATATTTTCATTACAAAATGAATTTAACCGGAGAATTATTAAGAAATCGAGGATCACTGATTCTCTTGGTGATGTCAATTTGTAGTGAATATGACCGAAGCTGACATTTTTACATGAATGTGATAATGAACACAGTTATACTCTTGTTAATTTCATGAGTTTCTTACAATTTTTGTCCTTTTTTGATACACATTTCCTAGATCACTTCCCATAAATAGTTGGAAGTCTACTCAAATTAGTCACGTCCAATATATAATTGAGTACCCTCTATGAAACATTTAAGTGTGTTTGTTCATTTGATGACAATCGGCTGGTCAGTGCAATTAGAGTTACTAATCAATATTAATCAATATATATATATATATATATATATATATATATATATATATATATATATATATATATATATATATATATATATATATATATATATATATATATATATATATATATATATGGATAGTTAAAATTGAACTGAATGATATAAATTTCATTGGTGTTTATCATCTAAGGTCAGAGACATTAATAATAAATAGGCGAAAAAAATATTCACCTGAGAAAAATTGATATTTTAGAAAAAAACATCATAAAATGACCGCTGTTACCCAATGTCAAGTAGATCATTTGATTACTGAATTAGTACCGCATGTGGACACAGAAGCACATCAGGAAGAACTAGGCTTAAAAGTGTATGAATGGTAAATATAACAATTATGTTTATCAGTCTATTTGTGTTTATTTTTGAACATATTAGCTTTCTAAAGGCTAAACCAGAATATATTTGTAAATTTTCAAGACTTCAAGGACTTGATGTTAGTAATTTTGCACAATCAGAAGGGCTCAAGTACTACGCAAGAACTTTTGTTGGGGCTCTTGTGCCGATAATTAAAGCTGCAGCAAATAAGTGTGAATTAGATAAACTTTGCTTGGATGAAGCTGTGATGCACAGAAATCGTCAAGTTAACGAACAAATATTTCTAGTAAGTGCATTTCACGAATCGCCAATTCAATTTAAACCATTTTTAGTTCTCCACATAGTTTATCGGTACGATGAGTATTACCATTAAGCACTAGCGAACTATTAAATTAATGATTATAGCCGTTGTAGGAAGCTACTATTCCCTAGAAGAATTTTTTTTTAATATTTTAGATTTTGCTCAGGTAGTATCACTTCCGTTTACTTTGGGTAATATAGATACTTCAACATTAGCTAACCTAAAATCAGTATTAGAGAGTAATAAACATTTATTTTTTCGTCGCTTTCTGCACACTAACTTCATATGAAATAAACTGTTTATCACTAAATAAATGTTAACTATTTTGAAACAGTTATCTAGTACTTATCCCTGTTCTGATGAGGTACATTTGTTTTAGTAAATATCTGAAGAATCTTTAAGATAAGATCTAATCATATCAAATATGTTTGGTGCTTACAAAGAATCCAAATAAATGATAAACATTTGCTACACTTTGCAAATAGAATTTTATTAAATCTAACATTTTAAAATTTTCTTTTACTTTATAATCAACATTAAAATGAACTTAATAATTTATTCTGTTAAGTAGGATAGATTAATTACAAATTTTACAATTAAATTACAATCGTAATTGTTTCCAATACATACCTTGTAAACCGATAAGATTTAATTATAAGAATAATATTTACTTTTGATGGAGTTTCGTTCTGTGATCTGGATGGTTTAGTCCAGCTCAGAGAACGAAACTCCATTATAATCATTTACCTGAGCTACAAATCTCCACCATCTCATAATATCTACTTTAATTGATCCTCTTTGATTGTGAATTTATTGACTAAATACTATTGTCAAAATAAATCCACTAAATAATTGGATACAATAAATTAATGTGTCATTATTGAACACCTTAAATGTAAAGTTTTCATTACATTATATTATATATTATATCATATATATACTAAATAATTTGTATTTCATTTGTTATTTTTAGGATTCATTGCCAATATTCATTGAATTTTTCAACAATTTCATCAATGATGAACAAAATAAAGAAACAATGAGTAGAATATTAACTTACGTCTTCAAAACAATCGGTTCTCAAATTTAACAATAACAAAACAAAACAAAAACTAAATAAAATACGTGACGTAAATTTTTGTGCACAAATTAACCCCTTTTTATTTCTTTTAATTAAGCTAATAATTTATATTGTAAAGTTGACAAATTGCCAATAAACATGATTTTATAATTATTTTATATGATTCTATGAATTTTAGACACTTTCAAAGATAAATCATTTTCTGATCATTTCATAAAATCAATAATAAGGAATAATGAAGTTTTACATTAGGAATTGGAAAGTAAATATATATATATATATATATATATATATATATATATATATATATATATAACATTTTATTAAAACTATTGTATTTCTCCTAGGGTTCTTGTAAGACAATAAATACATCATCAATCTAATTATTTGATACTAATGATTTTAGTAAAAACTGTTACAATATTTCAAAAGTGCATTTTGTTTACAATATTCAAATCTAGAAATCTAATAGATTACAATCATTCCAATCGAGAACAAAGGCCCTGGGTTCTAATCCTGTGAGCGGGATCATGGATGATCACTGCTGAGGAGTCCCACAATAGGACGAAACGGCCATCCAGTGTTTCCAGGTTTCCAAAGGTGGTCTAACATCAATCGGTTCATGATCTCAATCAAAAACTTAATAATCTCCACAATCCCTATACTAGCATTTAAAAATAGTTGGATGATTATTTCAATATTAAGTTTATCTGTTATTTATTATTCAAAAAAAGTGGTTTTGTTCCTTTAAAGAAAATTGTAGGATTATCAAAATCTCTACCACTTTTTTGAGTTATTTAGGTTGTGAAAGAACTAAGTTAACTTAACTTACGTACGAATCTTCACAATTCGTTAAATAATCATAGATTACATAGTGTTGCAAAATTTGTAGAGAATATAAAAAATTGTATAACTGATTAGTAGAATGGAATAATTCAGTCATAAAAATAAATAATTTTAATTGACGGAATAAAAGCTTGAAATGTTTAAACTAAAGGTTTTTAAAATACTTTTTGAGTTTTAGCCAAGAATTTTAGCATATCGTACACACATCATAAAAAGTCTACAGATATATTTTTCTAATAATTTTATATGAGTTCATTTTTAAATTCACCTATTTAGGTAATGTATGGCATTACCAAAGGTAATAAAACCTAAAATACGTAAGGTAGATAGATTTTATATTTATGTCATTTATCTGTGTTTTAGCTCGGTTGTTGAACGAGATGTGTATTTTCATAAAAGCGGTTTATATTATATTTCATCCTCGTTAGCATTTGAATGGTCTTCAATTAGTTATTTTTGGTGAAAAGTATGATTTATGGCCGGCTTTTGAGTGACATTAAAGTGACCTTGAGAATATCTACCTTTTTCACTAGAATTAAAAAGGGTTATAAACTAGTATCAGGAATTAGGATTGGATTTGTAGTTGAAAATTAGAGTTAGGAATTAGATTAAGGGTTTTAATCACGAATTGATATCAGTTATGATGCCATAATGCTATTTAGCCAAATGGATAAATGAATTTTGCGCCAAAACCCAAGACCCGCTCTCTTAAATGTGATTGGTCTGTTCATAAATTATTGTCTCACCATAAAATCAATATATAAGGTAAATTCGGGTACTGGATTCAGCTTCATTGATCATAATGACTATTGTGAAGTCTAGACAATATTATTCAGTATAATTTAATCAGTTCTGTGTCAGTATTTAGCAGTATATTCGAGAACGATTAGAAGATAAATCGAGATTTTTGTATGTAAACAAAATGCTAATCAACCTAACAAATAATTTATGATTGATATATCTGAAGTATCTGGTTGTTTTAAGACGCAATTTGTGTGATGACGACAACGAACATAATTTTGCTTCGTGAAATTATTACGTTTATGGTCTTTGAAAAAATTCATTATAAGCTGTAATATTTGCACCATTGCAAATGTATGGTCACTTACTCTGAACTTTGACAAATACTATTTGAATAATATTCGAAAAATTAATTTACAAGCTATGTTTCAGATAAGCAAAGATGGATGGTGGCTAGTAGTGGAATTCAGGACACGTGTTTCGTTCTATTAGGGACTCGTCAGCCGGATGTACCTGCACCACAGAGTTGATGATCATTCCAGGACTCGAACCCATTACCGTTCGCTTCAAACGCCATCGCATTATCCACTTAGTCCCTGCGTCCTGATAGCCACTTGCTTGTGTAGTTAGATGAAGTTCAAATTCATTTGGTATTGTTTTGTTTGAATCTTCCGATTGATGTTTAGGACCGGAATTGAACGGTCTCTTATTAGCTACAGATAATATTGAATAAAAAATCTCAGTACTGTTATTAAACCGATTCGAATTTATATGGTGAAAAGTATCCTAAATTACCAAGTTTTCCTAAATTTAGACCAATTAATAATAATAGTTCATGTGTAGAGTTTCTGATAAAGGGCTAACATATTACAATAGTTTCATTTCTTACCATTGACTAAAAATTATCTTTATAGAAAGATACCTTGTTAAATAAGGTGTTCAATTTATTGAATATAAATTCTGTTACTTACATTCTTGCAATTGATTTTTATGTCGTATAAATTCAATTAATTTGATATTTAGTTTATATATTTTAGTTCTAAAGAGTTATGAAATAATTTATGGTACTCGGTTCTAAGAAAAATAAACAAATTCTGATTACGGACTTTTAGAGGTAATCTGTAAGAAATATTGAAGAACCTTTACTTTTGCTTATTGGCTGTCGTTAGTATCTACCACATTGAGGGAATTAATCTTTTTGAGATACCAATACCTTAATCAGTGTTTTTAGCATGAAGTAATTCGGACTGCAATTAATTGGTTGTAGAAATTAGTTGATTAAATTAACTGGCCAATAAGTTTGGTAATCATATAGTAAAGTTGATTGTAAGAACTCATTTAGCACTAAGAACTATAGGACATGGTAACAGGAACATTCAGTGATCGATTCATGTAATACTTAGTAATTTTTAAGCGAATAGGGAGTGGTAAATCTTCAAATACTTGTGGAACAACATAATGTACATCTTAACTTTGAATAAATATATATTAAAGAGCTGTAGTACATGCAAAATTGTTTACCCACTCGCTCTCAATAATAGTTATCGAAACACTTAAAGTCATCCGGTGCGAATTATTTATTTCGTGATGTTCATCATCATATTCAAGAATTCATATGTAATCATTCAAATAAAAATAGCTCATATTCTTGATCACACTGGTGAAAAACATTCAATTAGAACATTCTAGAAATCTAAATGTCCTTGAAAATAGAAAAAATCATTTGGTTGATTGAGAAATTTTAGTAATAAACGTTGATTGACTATTCGTTAATTCATTTTTAAGTTATGATTCACTTTCATTACTTAAGATACTTTCATTGTCAGTCTAATTATAATCTTCAGTAATTTATAATAAAGAAAAAAATTACTAGTTTTGAGATCAGCATAAAATGATGAATAGAGAAATTTTAAGGTGAGTATAATGTTTCAAAGAATTGTCTATTTTAATATGCTATAATGTATCGTCGAACTTTCACTTTATTAAGATTTCGAATGTTATTAACATTCAGTAAAATGAACTATCACCAAATTTTCAGATGTTCAACTGTAATGAATCAGAACACAAGTGTGGACAATCGAATGTATTTGACACGAAACTACAGAGCATCTCACTAAAATCTGAGAACCATATAGTAAATACTTAATTTGCAAAATATCAATCTATCGTCTCAAACTTCACTGTTCCTTTTGCAAATATCAGTCCATTGTCTCAGATTTAATTGTTCATGCATTTTCATATCAATTGCGTGTCATTTCCGTTCTTTTCTTATCGATCTTCTTTTATGTCTCACCACCATTATATACTACTTATATGAATATAAGCAACCCACACTACAAAACAACTGAATTTTTCATACCTTAGGAAGATATAATTAAAATATCTGATTTAGCAGAAAGAACTCGACTAAAAATAATAAAAATAAGTCAGATATTATATTGCCGTTTTAAGATTTTAGATTTAGAAACAAAACTCGAAATTAACAGTTATACGTGAATTACTCAAAAAGTATTCCCAAAAACAATTATCATACCAGTTAAATAATAATAATAAGAAAATTTCATTCGTGTTAATTTCATTAACGAGATTTGTTGTATCATCTTTAAATGAAATAATTATGATTATAAAATTTGTTCATTATCACAAGATATTCAAGTGATAATAAGTGAAATTCATAGTGTTGTATTACATATTTGTGAGTAAAACAAATGGATAAATTATTCAATGAAATAAAAAAATATCAGATCTATAAGACACTAAACATTAAAAAATTGCTAAATATCAAAAGATTATTGTTATATCCTAGCGAAGATTGAATTACGAGTAACTTCTGAGATCCATTGATGAACTAATATTATCTATATATCCTTATGGTATAACTATTCAATAATTAGATTTTATATATCTATAGTCCCCTTATTATAAGCTTCGTTTTGACCTATAGATTATTATTGTACCATTTATTGTTCATAAGTTATACTCAATTTATTGACTACTGTCCCTCACGTTCACAGCCACTTTTCAGCTTCATTGTGTGTAAATGTTATTTCCTATTTTATGGTACGTTGCGGTCTGTTTAGTTGATATATAAGCCCAGTATGTTTGAAATAAATGATTCACATGGTGGAAGTTGGCATTGGTGTTCTAGACTGACGTGGACGGGCTAGGCGAACATGGGACCAATAAGGACGCTAGACTACTCATACTGGTCGAGCGTCATTGGTTTAGTACAGTGTGAAGATTGTACAAGTCGTATTTCGATTGGCGGATAAATCACGTGATACCTAGCCGGACTTAAAGTCATGACAGTTATGGTATGCTTTTTTTAAAAGCAGGTAACTGAGGTTCAATATCAATAAATATACAATTTAATGAAATACGGGATAATGGGAATCAAATAAATGAAATTCACAAATTTTAGA